GCCCTTCACCCCCTCTGCCCTTCCCTATTTACATAGATTTCATTTCCATTTTTTTTCTTTTCTCATAGTTTTTCCTTTCCCTCTTTTCCTTTCCCCTTCCCCTCCCTTCACTGCTTTGTCTTTGGACCTTTTTTCCTATTTTGTTTCCATTCTTTTTCTTTCTCATAATTTTTCCTTTCCTTTCTTTCCTTTCCCCTTCCCCTCCCACCACCCGTACACCTAGATTTTTATTTCTAAGAATATATAACTCCATGTCAAAGGTTAGGGTAACAAAGTTATAGAAAAATTAGAAAAATGTGTTTCTTCCAGGAGCACATTTGGGTTTGCGTCATAATCGTAATTTAAAAAGTCACCACTGAGATAGACCCATGGAGGAGGTTCTGATTTGTCCCAGTGTTGAGGATAACTTGAGGATGATGGGATTTTTTTTTTCCTGTAGGTGTCAAGCATCATCACAGAAGGCATCAGCAAAAACAGCATGACACTTGTGCTGACCAGTGTCTCGCTCACAAAAGTACCTTGCCAGCATAGCCTTAGTATTCAGAGAATGTCGCACAGGAAGGCATTGATTTTCATAGATCCATCAAACAACATGGGCAAAATCCGCAATTTACTCCATATCTGATGTCAAACTCTGCTGACCCCAGGGTCCATAGTTAGCTGGACACAAATCTTGAGGTCCCTAATGGAAGGCACGGGGCATGGATACCAGTGGTGCCCTGGCTGTCACAGGCTTCACTGTCCAGAGAAAACCCTTGTCTTTCAAGGACAAGGACAGAGTATGAGTGCACAGCACAGACAAGGAAACAAAACGCTTGCTGAGTCCATCAGGTCATGAATTTCTAAGAATATGAAATATAAAAGACACTCAATGAGAAAAATGCATGGAGTATGAACTGCCCGGCTGAACCTGGGTATGAAAACAGTTACAGTAAGTCCTGTTCTTCCCAGGATTCTGACATAGATTAGAAAATATTTTTAAACATCAGAGATTGAAAATATCAGAAAATCACCAAAGAATAAATTTCTTTATTGAAGTAAGTTTTATTTCTTCTCAGATTTGATGTATAAAAAGAGAAAAATAGGCATTTATTCCTTTTGGCTTATTTTCTATCAACTAGAGATGTTTGAGTAATTAGCATATAAAATTTATTCTCTGCATTGGTATTCTACCATTTTGAATTCTAGGTCAAATAGTACACTG